AGACAAAATGTCCAAAAACTTCAGGTTTGCCTCATTCTTTGCAAACCAAGAAATAATAAAATCTTCTCTTACAATAGTGACAAACAACTATAATTCTCCAGACATTTGTATCACCATTCTTGTTCAAAGTTTAAAATGAATGCTGCATTCCATATTATAACGGAGAATGTGACATGTATATCTATTTCAATACAACAGCAGATTTGCACATATTGTGGTCATACACATGATTTCTACACTTATAAACAATATTCCTCAATTGTATATTGACTGTATCACTGGTGTTTCTTATATGAGCTGCATATGAATACCACTTGCACACCAATGGTGATAAACAACATATCATGCCAGAAAGTAAACAGAGGAATTTCATTGCTTGCCTGACCCTGATTTACTGACAAAATTGACTTGGAGCCTATCGCTTGGCTCTCACATGTACAAGAATGAGGGCCACATTAGAATCTGTTGATAATTCATCAAAAACAAGCCATAGAAAGACAAAGCTATTCAACACTGATAATTGATAATATAGTAGAAAAATTAAACAATTTCTAAACTTGATATCAGTGTAGGTTACAATCAAACTGAGCTTTCAGAATAGTCCTAATGTCTTACAGTTTTCTGTATGTCCTATTTTATCATATTGCTTACACATGAAGACTGGATAACTTGTACTGGGATACCAATGACATAGTTACAAAGCCTGACAACACCCAACTTCAATGGTGATTGTTAATTCTTTAGTTCAACTTTTGCAAAGAAGATGCAGAGCTATAACTGATGATACTCTCTGGGATAAAGTTCAATATGCAGAGCTTTGAAATTGATGCAACCTTTGGATTTATTTGAGTTGGATCCAGAAGAATATTTAAATGCAATTATGCCAGTTCATGTATTTCTGGCATGAACATTGATGTCTATCTTAAGTGTTAATAACACTGATGGTGGTTAAGTTCCTCACTAGCCTGCCAAAATGGAATGTGATACATCACAATAAACCTTCATGGGAGCTTGAAGTAGGAACAAGTAATACTTTCTGGGATACTTTTAATTATCCATCAGCATTTACCTTGGAAGAGATGTGCTGGCCTTAAATAAAATTCAGCAATGATTCACGATAATAATGGGAGATGAAAGTACTGAGTTTAAATCAGAGGATGGATACACAGTTTTATTCCCTAGTTTCGCAGAAGTTAAAGAAGTCAAAGTTGTTTTACGCACTTAAAATACTAAAGCAAATTAACTGTATTTTTAAAAATTTATTCATGGGATGAGGGTGTTGCTGTCTAGATCTGCATTTATTTCCGATACTTAATTGCCGAGGGCATTTAACAGTTAACCACATTGCTGTGGGTCTGGAGTCACATATAGGACAGACTGGGTTTTCCTTCCCTAAAGGACATTAGTGAACCAGGTTGGTTTTGCCGACAATTGACAACGGACTTGTGGTCATCATTAGACACTTAATACCAGATTTTTTTTAGATTGAATTCAAATTTTACCATCCGCCATGGTGAGATATGAGCCCGGTCCCCAGAGCATTACTTGGATCTTTGGATTAACACTCCAATGAAAGTACCACAAGGCCATCACCTCCCCTGGCATGTCTGTTGTAGACTGTCTACAGCAGAAACCTCAAGACGTTGGACTAGTACCACCAACACTACCCATGAAAGATCCTGCAAATCCATTTGGAAGAAAGATGCACCAACACCAGCATCGTCAACCGGGCCAACATCGAGGCACTAACCAGCCTTGATCTGATACGATGGCCTGGGCACGTTGTTTGCATCACTGACACAAGACTCCCCAAGCCGGTGCTCTACTTCCAACTTCGAAACAACGGGCCAGCTCCAGGTGAACAGAGGAAGCGCCTCAGTGATATCTTCAAGGCCTCACTGGCAAAGTGCAGCATTCCCACAGACGCCTGGGAATCACTAGCTGAGGATTATCCAAACTGTAGGAAGAACATCCATGAAAGTGTCGAGCACCTCGAGACAAGAAAATACAGACTACAGGTGAAAACAGCATAAGGAGCATATTGGAAAGCCAACACCCCACTCATCCTCTCCTGTGAGCACCTTCTACCCCAAGTGTAATGGTGTCTGTTGTAATTGCATCAGTCTGAGCCACCTACGAGTCACCCAGAGAGTGGAAGAGAGCCATCCTCATCTGCGAGGGATGGTGGACAGATGGATGGATATCAAAAAATCCAGAACAAGGAGAGATAATGTTAGAATTTGAACTAAACTGATTAAAATTGATCTTGAAAAATCTTCACACTCAATATTTAGTAAATAAGGAATCCATTGCCTTAGAAGCTCATGAATGTAAAGAGAAATGAAGAATTTAAAATGGAGATTGACACTTAGTCGGAATGATAGGGCATTAAACGATACCAAGGAAAGGCAGGAATTTAGTATTAGGAGGAAAACTAAACAATGGGCAGGATCAATTGTTTTAATAGTCTTCTGTTTCTATAATATTTCCATCTCTTGGTACAAACAGTAAGGTGGGACAAAAGTCCCCATCAGTTTATGGAAGTACCCAGGACTAAAACCCTCTGAGGACTGAAGTTGTGGAAATTACATTGGTTTAAATTCATTGAATGTTTGCGACTCAAGAAACTATGGGCTGCAACTGAACCAGGAACAGGCTGACTGGGACAGGCTGTATAATATGCAAGCCTGGGCCAAATGTCTGGAACAGGGCTTAGTTTGTAGAAACTAAAGGAAGACCGCCATTCACGCCCCAGTTTAAAAACAATGCAAGCCAGTCTGTAGGAAACAAAAAACTTCAAAAACTTCAGACCCTTTGGAGCCTACAGAGGTACAAAGCCATTCAATTTCCAGTCAGTGCTCAGGCACAAAAGTACTGAACATTCCACACCATTGTGCTACATGCAAACCTGTTTCACCTCAGATGTAAAAATACTCATGCCACTATGCAAAATTGAACGAATACCCATCCACGGGAAATGCTGGACATTCCAAAACCATCAAAACCACTCACCTCAATTGAAACCAATTCATATCTACTCATGTGCTCAGGAAGCCCATTCAGCCCTGAGAGCCGGAACAATAGCTCAAAGATTTGGTAGGAGATAAGGGGGGCCTGCAGTTGGGTATAACTGAAGACCCTGAGCCCAGGAAGGCAGAAAGTGAGTGGAGCAAGAGGAGGAGGAGGAGGAGAAAGAAGAGGAGAAAGAGAGTGATACCAGCCCTGCAATTCCAGCAACGCGCCCCAACTCCAACACAGTTTGTGTGCTCTGCAAGAAAAGTTTGAGAGTCCAAGCGAGAAGTAGGCCCCGCTCACAAAGGAGACAAGCTCTCGCAACCATGAACACCAACAGCTAACCACGAGCCTCCACTCGACGTCCAAAGGCAACCGAAGCCATCCAGAGACACAAGATACCGACCAGGGCAACACCAGCAACATCTACCACCAACAAAAACACCAACCCGCTGGCAAGGACCACCAGAAAAGAAAGAAAGCCCAAGGTACTCACCGGTCTGGTCCCATGTGTCTAACTGCATCAGCAGACATTATTAGACTGACTGTTACCGGTACTTATGGCCCTTCGTAGAATCCCAACTATGGCAAGAGACTAAGGACAATAGCCAGTCAAAATCAGGAAGGGAAGTGGAATAAGACTCCGAGTCAGCAGGCAGGCTGTCTCTCTCTCTCTCTCTCTCTCCCTCCCTCTCTCCCTTATTAGCATAAGTAAAAGCCACCTACTATATTCATTTACCCATTGTATCATGTTTTGGCTGCAAGCTTAACTGGGGGTCAAGTTAAATGGGAGACAGGTCTCAGACAGAGAGAGGCGGGGTTTTGATATTCACTTTCTTGTTTTCTGTAAATATATTCAATTTGCTTGTCTTTCAATAAAATCAGAGTTTCTTTGCCTCTGAAACATCTGCCTCCTGTGTTTTTCCACCACACCACATTACACACATAAGCCCAGTGTCAGAACCAAGGAGCTGGTGAACAATAAACCAGGCAGCACTCCGTACAAAATGTGTGCATCAAGATTTGGCCGAGATTGAAATCAGCATTAATCTCACAAAGAGAAGAGAGTTACATACATCATAAGTAGGACAGCTGATCTCAGTTATATAGTTGGGTGAGTATAAACTTATAGGCAATGAATCAATTCAGAGCCAATTTTTTTTTACAAATGTAACTGTAGTGGTGTGTCCCATAGTTAGAATCTCAGTACATCTTTTATCTCCTTTTTAAAACATTTTAACAAGAAATTTATTCAATGGATAATATGTTAGCAAGTCAGAAAAGGCAACACAGTATCATTGTATGAGCTCTGACTGTATAAAAATTAAACATTTTATTTAAGTCACTTGAAGCATGCTAGGCTGATGGAAGTGTGCTTCCCTTTGCAACCAAATAGCCTAATATTAGTTCAAACGTTGAAGTATCTAATGCTTGCATATAACAAATGTAATAAATATTCTGTTGGATTCTTCAATATCATGTTACACACATCTAGATTCTTACGTTATGGAAGATGACATAAGCATTGCCATGTTATTTAGAGGCATGCTGCTTAAGACAAATCTCACATCATGGTAAACAGTGGTGGCCATTTATTAAAAAGATTACAAAGTCTTAATGGTGGATATTTTAACAAACCTAATTGAAGATCAACTGGAAAACAAACTAGACATCAAAGAATTTACATATTCAACATTATCAGCTTTTATGAGGGCAGAAGATAGAGCTATTTTCTGTCTGAATCAAATCTCAGTCTAGATGAAATCTCTAAAAGTGCAGTTGCAAATAAAAGCAAAGCAAAAAGTCACAGTCCTGCACTGAGGCAGTGCCCACTTATTTCCCTTGCTCCCTGTATCTCTCTTCTTTTTATAAAATGAAGCAAGTACTGCAGTTCTGATTTTCAAATAAAAACAACAGCTCAACATGCCTCATAGCACAGTCACAAAGCTTCCTTAAAAGGAAACACAGGTAGAAAAATGTTTACGTACTGTTTTCTACACCAGAAAGGTTTACTTGTGCACAAAGTTCAACTGGTTCAGCCATTTTCTTTTTCATTGCGATAAGAAAGCCCATGTGACATCATAAATCTCTATTTGGTGTGAACATCACCTAGCAGCTCAAACCTGAAACTGCAAGTCTGGAATTATTGGACAACAAGGACAGAGTTCTTAACCCAGTATTTTTTAAAGGGTCTAAGACCAAAAAAAGGAGCAGCAGCAGTGAAAAATAAAGATGATCAGAAGAAGAAATTACAATGTGAATTGAGAGAACAGCAAATAAAAGTTTAAAAAAATAAACAAACACTGCACTCTACTTCTAAGAAAGATAAATATTCAAAGGGAAAATGGGCAGCATGTATTGAATTATGAACTGGACAACCAGTGATACCTTTACTGAATTATAACATTTCAAAACATTGTATGTAGCTCTATCTTAAAGATAAAGATTAATGATAAAAATTAATGTATTAATGGATAAATGATCATGAGAAGAGAGACCTGAAATCTTGTTTGCCATTGATGAGGAGGGGGCTTTGCAAATTCAGTACATCTTCTTTTTATATGGACAATCACAAAGATCCAGAAAGGATCTGGAATGTACTCAAAGACCAAATCAGGCTAAGAACTAACTTCAGGATTAATAGATACCAACTCATGGCACACATAGCAACCCACACGATTCTGGATTGATTAGTCAGGAGATGCTGCAGCAAAATGCGTGAGAAGAACTCTAAGAGAGGCTCACCTAATTAATAATTGCCTCTAATCCAATTAAAGCCTTTCGGAAAGATCTTCCCTGCAAGAAAATGTAACAAACCATTGATGTATCATTTGTCAATAGATGTCAGTATGAAGCCATAGTGGCAGGGCAACAGCAATAACATGCTTTAGGTGCAGCCAACATGACTAACAAACAGCCAACGGCACCAAAACAACAAGATTTGTAACAGATGCAGTTTCTCACACATAGCCAAAAACTGGCCAGCTTTTTGTGTTATCTGTAGAGCACGTGGCTCCAAGGCATGTTTAAGCACATGTGCAGGAAATCTGATATCAAAAGCCAAGCCAGATCCTAAAACACAATGCAGGTGACCAACATGACAGCACAACACCATAATGTTGGGAAAGTGAACATGAACAAACACATATGCTCCATGCAGTTTGGAGTCAAACAAGTGAAAGACAAAGATAACAAGGCGTAGAGCTGGATGAACACAGCAGGCCAAGCAGCATCAGAGAAGCAGGAAAGCTGACATTTCGGGTCGAGACCCTTCTTCAGAAATGGGGGAGGGAAAGGGGATTCTGAAATAAATAGGGAGAGAGGGGGAGGCGGATAGAAGATGGATAAAGGGGAGGGTAGGTGGAGAGGAGACAGACAGGTCAAAGAGGCGGGGATGGAGTCAGTAAAGGTGAGTGTAGGTGGGTGTTAGGGAGGGGATAGGTCGGTCCAGGGAGGACGGACAGGTCAAGGAGGCGGGATGAGGTTAGTAGGTAGGAGTGGGGGTGGGGCTTGAGGTGGGAGGAATGGTTAGGGAGGCGGGGACTAGCTGGGCTGGTTTTGGGATGCAGTCAGGGGAGAGGAGAAATAGAAGCTTGTGAAGTCCACATTGATACCCTTGGGCTGCAGGGTTCCCAAGCGAAATAGGAGATGCTGTTCCTGCAGCTTTCGGGTGGCGTCATTGTGGCAATGCAGGAGACCCAGGATGGACATGCCGTCCAAGGAGTGGGAGGGGGAGTTGAAATGGTTCGCAACTGGGAGGTGTAGTTGTTTGTTGCGAACTGAGCGTAGGTGTTCCGCAAAGCGGTCCCCGAGCCTCCACTTGGTTTCCCTGATGTAGAGGAGGCCACAACGGGAACAGTGGATACAGTATACCACATTAGCAGATGTGCAGGTGAACATCTGTTTGATGTGGAAGGTCTTCTTAGGGCCTGGGATAGGGGTGAGGGGGGAGGTATAGGGGCAGGTGTAGCACTTGCTTTGGTTGCAGGGTAAAGTGCCGGGGGTGGTGGGGCTGGAGGGGAGTGTGGAGCCGACAAGGGAGTCACGGAGAGAGTGGTCCCTCCAGAAAGAGGATAAGGGTGGGGAGGGAAAAATGTCTTTGGTAGTGGGGTCAGATTGCAGATGGCGGAAATGTCGGAGGATGATGCGTTGGATTAGGAGGTTGGTGGGGTGTTACATGAGGACGAGGAGAATTCTGTTTTGGTTGTTATTGCGGGTAGGGGGTGTGAGGGATGAGGTGCGGAAAATGCGGGAGATACGGTCGAGGGCATATTCGACCACTGTGGAGGGGAAGTTGCGGTCCTTGAAAAAAGAGGACATCTGGGATGTCCGGGAGTGGAATGCCTCATCTCGGGAGCAGATGCGGCTGAGGCGAAGGAATTGGGAATAGGGGATGGCCTTTTTGCAGGAAGGTGGGTGAGAGGAGGTGTACTCTAGGTAGTTGTGGGAGTCGGTAGGTTTGAAATGGATATCGGTTTCCAGGTGGATGCCAGAGATGGAGACAGAGAGGTCCAGGAAGGAGAGAGAGATATCAGAGATGGTCCAGGTGAACTTAAGGTTGGGGTGGAAGGTGTTGGTGAAGTGGATGAACTGTTTGATCTCCTCGTGGGAGCACGAGGCGGCACCGATACAGTCTTCAATGTAACGGAGGAAGAGGTGGGGTATAGGGCCAGTGTACCTCTGGAAGACGGATTGTTCCATGTATCCTACAAAGAGGCAGGCATAGCTTGGGCCCATGCGGGTACCCATGGCCACCCTCTTTGTCTGTAGGAAGTGGGAGGAATTGAAAAAGAAGTTATTGAGGGTGAGTACGAGTACGGCTAAGCGGATGAGGGTGTCAGTGGAGGGGGACTGGTCGGGCCTGCGGGACAGGAAGAAGCGGAGAGCCTTTAGGCCATCTGCATGGGGAATGCAGGTGTATAGGGACTGGACATCCATAGTAAAGATGAGATGTTGGGGACCGGGGAATTGGAAGCTCTGGAGGAGGTGGAGAGTTTGGGTGGTGTCACAGACATACGTAGGGGGTTCCTGGACCAAGGGGGAGAAAATGGAGTCGAGATAGGTGGAGATAAGTTCGGTGCTGCAGGAGCAGGCGGAGACAATGGGTCGACCAGGGCAGTCAAGTTTGTGGAATTTGGGAAGGAGATAGAAGCTGGCGGTGCGGGGTTGGGGAACAATGAAGTTGGAGGCTATGGGTGGGAGGTCACCTGAGGTGATGAGGTTGTGGATGGTTTGGGAGATGATGGTTTGGTGCTCGGGGGTGAGGTCATGATCAAGGGGACGATAGGAGGAGTGAAAGACAAATTTTACAAGATGATCAGGCTTTCCATATTGTTAACCTCACACACCACGTCAATAATATAAACTGATCCAAAGCTTTTATAACAATTTACATTACATTCCCTGTCAAGGCATGATGACATATATGAAAAGCTAAAAGAGACACAGGACCTTGTGTCAACATATCACCAAACTCAAAGATTTGCACGTCAACAAGTGGCACTCCATGTTACAGCCTACAAGACAGTGGCTCACATTATATAACATATCATTAATTTCATGCATCGGCAGAATCACACTGCTCTGCCAATACAAAACTTCCTGAAATATCTTACTTGGTAGATAGCATTGGCAGGACCGCCAGTGAGCACAGATCTCAGTATAGTCACAATTTATGAGATTCAAACCACACCCACTGTGGTGGAACATATTACACATACTGCAATCAATTCAGTTGAAGACTTTCTTTTTGGTGATCTGTTCTACTTCACAACCTTCCACTGTTTTGTTTGCCTTCAATGCCCTCCAATTCAGTGCAAATCTCATGCAGAAGCTGCACCCCTGCAGGAGGTTGTTAACAAAAGGAAGAGAAAAATGTTAGTTCTTTTCCTTAACTGCCTTGAGGAAGCTTTGGGTTGCAAAAACCAGTCAAGCACAGCACAGAGCAGAATTTCTTATTTCTCTTCCCAGTCAACTAACCTGTCTTAGCTTTACTGCTGTTTGATATGAAGTCTTTTAAATCCTGTCCACAAGTATTCAGTCCCCAACCAATGGTCTAGATTTAGCTCAGCAGGGTGGATAGCAGTCTTGTAATATAGAGTAATGTAATGTGGTTTCAAGAACCTGCACTGGCTGGGTTTGCTGTGAAGGATTCTCCCTTTTTTTAACAACTGCCTTTGCCTGAGATGTTGTGACCCTAAGGTCAAACCACCACTAGTCATCTCCCATTCTAATGAGAAAGCAGGCTTATGGTCTGGTAAGATTGTGGCGACATTACCTTTCAACTAAATTAGTAAATTGACAATACATGCCTCTGTACAGTTGTTTGGAGTAAATTTTTATCTTTGGTAAAAGGGGTGCATTGTGTTATGTTTTACAGTTAGTATGTAGTGCACCTTTAAGACGGATTCTCATAATGTTATCGATCTATCATAGCATGTGACCTGATGGTATAAATGTCTCCTACTCCATTTGAACTGAGCCCATTCAAGCATGACATGCTTATTGAATGATGCTACTCTTTCTAACTGAATAGCTTAATATTAGCCCACACAATGAAGTGCCTGTAACTGTTATATTTGTATATATTGGATGCTGTAATAAATATCAAGTGAATCTTTCAATACCATGTTCCCCACATTTGGTTCTCATGCTAACATAAACATTGCCACATCAGGTACAAACAGCTAGCCTGGCAGCAAAGCCTATACCACTGTGGCAGTTCAAGCAGTATAGATCTCATTCCTACCTCTTAGGAGATAAAAATTTCTCTTTCCCATTGTTAAAATAGTTAACCAGTCTTGAGTAAATGTTACCAGTAATCTTGTGACAGAAAGTACCTTTAAGAGGGATTTGTTCTGTTCTGTTTCTCATGAAGAGGGGTGTTGTAAACATGCTGACAAGTTGTCTGCTCAATGGAAAGCAGAGTAAATAGCTTTGGTACTTTTTTCTTAAATTAGACAAAAGAAGCATGGAGTCAGGTTCACACAGACCCAAGGTTTTAATTTTGCTATCAGTTGTTGAAATCGTTTTTTTTTTCGGAATTGAAGCTGCTAGATATAATTTTCTCTCTGCTACTGCAAAAAGCTTGAGTTCTTTCTCTCTTTCTAGATTCATTCTTTCAG